TGCCTTCCAATGATGCAAGAAAGTAATTTCCATCTCCTAGTTAGAGGCGACTGTGCTAAAGGCTTAAGATGGCAATCTCCCATCATGACTTGAAAATGGCTTTAAACAATTTTTACCTAATGAGGTGCTGTGGGACAGTAACTTTGCTTTTTGGAGTAGTGGGACAAAAAGAGTATCTTCTTTGTCTACCATAGTGTTTTTATTTTTTTGATTGTGTGAATGATACTTTGTGTAATACACACTATAGAAAAATACTGGGCCAAAAATTCTGGTATGTCATCAATCCCAGAACCCATATTTTGCTACTCTTAATCATAGTCCTATCAGTTCTTTTGTAAGATTTAAGTGACTCCAGTATTTAACCATTTTTAATTTGGGTTCTTAAATTAAACAATTGCAACAACTTGCTTGTAAGTAAAGTTGATTTCCTTTCTCCAAGGAATGCTTCCAGCATTACAGCTGATGCTGCTTTATCACTGTTTATTGCTTCCTTTTTACTCCTGTATTATTGTGTCTGCACAGTATTACAGCAGGGTAGTGATGCAGTTCTCAGATTTTTAATTTTGCCTGTAAAGGCATTTTTAAAATATGACTAGTTTCCTTTTTCTTTGCATTCACCAACATTTAGAAAATTAACTTCTCTCCTTTTGTTTCTCTCCTTTAGGGAGTCTCTGATCCAATTTCTTACGTGTGCAATCTGTCTGTTTAGAATGCCTTTCTGGTTTTTTTCATCTGGTGTTATATGAATGTAACAGTGTAACTCACAAGTGTTATGTAAATATACACATACCTATCTATATAAATACCTGTCATTTTTATATTTTTAAAGTGGGGCATTGATTCTGTGTCTTACATTCACGTAGAACATGCTAGAAATACATTGCATAATTCCAGGTGAAAATAACTTCAGAATTTTTCACACAAAGTGGAGATGTGGTAAAAGTATATGAGAGTTCTATATTTGGAGAACCTTGCAGGACACTGATGAAGTACTTGCATTAGATTTTAACTCTGAATAATTACAAAAAATTTGAAAACTATGAATAGGCATAACATATGTGACCTTGACTGAAGTTTGTCCTTCTCTGTGAAGTGCAGGACTCAAATCTACAGGAAGGTTTGATCACTCTTTTATTAAATTCTCTTTTTATTGCTAGTGTCATTCTCCATTCAGATGAGGAGTAGTATCTTGAAATTAATGCATGTTTATTACAGCCAGATTGTCTGAAATCAGCCTGGGGTGTGTATACACACCCTTTGAATTGTGCTGTTCACCTGTCTTTTTCCTTCTCCCTATATTTATGTTCTTCACTTTCTGGAGTGGAAATGAACATAGCCAAGCACACAGGCATGCACAAATACCTCTGTATCTTCCAAATTAGAAGTGAAGCTTGCATTAAGTAGATTTCATAATTGCAAGTATATAAAATGTACATGAAATCCTGTACTAGTTTCTGTGTCATTTTATGATGTCTGAACTTAATTGTTATTCACAGCATACTCACAGTGGTTGAGGCCTGTTCGTGTTCTGCAGTGTTTGATATCCATCATAGTTTGAACCTAGGCAAAGAACTGTAACAAAGTCATCCTCATGAATGCGATTTTGAAATGTTAATATTGTTATGTAGTAGAAATGTTTTGCTGTATCTGTGTATTTGTGACTACCGGTGTTTTCTGCCTTTCGTGTTTTTACTTCCTAAATCTCATTATATGACAGCTTAAGATATTATCGCTTTAAAATACTAGTTTTCTTAGAATAAATTGTCACACCTAAGGTCACGGAAGGTTGGTAAGGACCTTCTGTATCCATAAGCATAACCCATTCCACTGAGATCTGCTGAGAAATTTCTTTCTATGTTGCATGTTAGGATTTCTTCTGCTGACAGGTGACAATGTTATCAAGTATGTCTTCCACAATGATGTCCCAATGTTTTTAAAAAAATCAGTCATAAAATAACATTATCTGCTATAAAAATGGCAAAATCAGATTTTAATGCCCATGTGTAGCTCAACATTTTTCTATTCTCACCTTTTAAATTGAATTAGTACTGAGGGTATAATTTTCCCTGAATTGTCTTTCTTCATGTGGAATTCTTTTGGAAATCTGTGAAAAGCATACATAAAAAGGGAGGAGAAAAGACCATTGCTTTTTTTCAGCAGATTTTGAAACTTTGTAGCACTGGCACTTTGACATGTATTTGATATGTATCTTATAATTGAAATATTTAAAGCCATTGTAAATTTATTATTTTTTTTGTATACCCACACAGCATTTGAGAGATCTGATATTATCATATTTTTTATTTCAATCACACTGGTTACTATTAATCTGTATTCTGAGTGTTCTAAATATCTAGATTTCTTCATGACTGATGTAACACTTCTGAGATCTGACTTACAGCATTTGCAGGCTAATCACAAGAATCAAATGCACTGGAGCTGTACAGTACTTTGGAAGTTTGTCCCTTAATACCAAATAGTGCATTTGCTAAGTGCAAACCTGCATTGTCTTGGTAAGACAGACATACAGACAGACATAGATTAGCCTTGCAGTACCAATTCACATATCTAGTATCTGTAGCTTGCAGAGTGACAACAGGTAAAAGAAATGTTATGTGCTCATGGTGCATACATTGAATTAATGGAGTGTTTCTTTAGCTTAATTCAACAGTGTATGACTTTGTCTTCAATAATATTGTAGTGGAGATAAGAACTATATGTAAATGTGGTGGATTCACCTTGGCCAGCTGTGAGATCCCCACCCAGCTATGCTTTTGCTCTCCCTCTTCAACAGCACAAGGAGAGAAAATAAGATTAAAAAGTTCGCAAGTTGAAATAAAGATCAGGAGATCCCTTTCCAGTTACTGGCACTGGCAAAATGGGCACAACTTGAGGAAAATTAATTTACTTTATTGATATTTAAAAGCAGAATAGGAAGGCAAAAAATACGCTGCCCCACTGTCCTTTCCTCAGGCTCAACATCTTCATTCCCAACTCCTGTATCTTCTCCTCCATGCGTGGTACGGGGGGGCAGGAGGAATGACAGTGTGTCCCCTGCGGTTCCTCTCTGCCACACATTTCTTCTCACACTTTTTTTGTGCTGCTGTGTGGGTCCCCTCTGTGGTCTGCAGCCCTTCAGGATAAATCTGCTCCAGCATGGGACTTATGTGGGCATTAGTTCTAAGGAGAATCTGCTGCAGTGTGAGCTCTCTGCAAGTGAGCGTTTCTTCAAGAAATATCCAGCTTGCTCTAGAGTGCTCATCTCCAAGGGCTTCAGGAGTTGCCTCCTTTATCATGGTCCTTGTTTTCCATGTGTTCTTCTCTGTTCCTGGTGCCTGGAGCACCTACTCCCTCTTCTTCTTTTCTGACCTTAGAATTTCTGGTGTTCTTTCTCACATTTTTACTTTTACTCCTCACTGCCTGGGCCATGTTTTGCCCTTTCTCAGCTATGCTTTCACAGAAGCACCACCTGATTCACTGGAGAATTCAGCTGTGTCCTGCAGTGCGTACGTTGCAGAGCAACCCTGACTTCTTGCTGACAGCCCTGCAGCCATCCCCAGAGCCAAAACCTTGTCACCAACACTCAGTGTAATAAGATGGAGAGAAAGAACATAAGGGATAAAAACCAGATCCATAAGGACAGAAATTTATTTTGGTCTGTTATGTTCCTTTCTGTGGTTAACTTCTTTATTTCTTTTAGTATCAGATCAACTACAGTGAAGTTCATTTGTGACTATCACTTTTCTAAACAATTTCAATAGAGCACTTTTATGAAAGACAAACTGAAGGTATTATGAGGAGGATGTAGAGTGGTTTTTTGATCACTAAAAAACACAGGGAAATCAAGCTTGTATTTTTAAACTTTTGAAAGAAGGAAGGGGGCAAAGAGCAGTGCAGATGAATGGATTTTTGGTGTGTATATAGGGTTTAGGATGCCAAAAATACCTTTCTTACATTAGAGAACACATGATGTACTTTGTCTTCTCACCCATTATTTTTGAATAATCTAATTTTAAAAGTTCTGCAAAAGTATTTTTTTCCCTCTTACCTGTTTACTGAAGAGCCTTGGTTTAGATTCAAACTATAGTTGAAGTGATGGGAAGGTCTTCTGTCTGAAATTGTATCTTCTTGGTACATATGGGCTATGTTCCTCTCTAAAAGAAGTCTGTTTGCAAGGTCTTGCATATCTCTACTCTCACCTAGTGACAAGTACTGCTTGATTAGCTATTTATTTCTTAAATCATCAGGCACATAATTTGCTAAACAGTATGAAATATTTTAGCACCTTTGTTCCTGGGTGACAAGTTGAAGGCCTTGATTGTGCAATAGCCAACACGTGCATTTAATTTTCAGCTACTGGGCATCACCTGGCTGCCTGGGCCACTCTGATATTTGCTGGCTATTGTTTTTCATATTTTCACCATGAGGTATCTTCTTGAGTCCTTGTCCATTTTCTCATGTAGTTTTGTATCTTACATTGATTATTATTAATATTGATTATTATTGGTGCCTTGAAGAAAGATTGGGTACTTCTACAGAAGCTGTAATATCACCTTGGCTGAAGCCAGGTGATATAACAGGAATCTAAAGAAATATTTTTACTTTGTAATTTAGCTGTCTATTCAGAAAACAGCTAAATGCTTCTCAAATTTTATGAACTTTGAGTAAACAATTGATTTTGAATGGTCAAGGGGTCCAGACTTTTTTTTACAAATAAAATATTACAATTTAAATATATGATGAATTCTGATTTAATAATGAATGAATGAAAATTCAGTTTCATGTGCAGTTTTAAAAGGAGTGTATTAAAAATTCTTTTTGTCTTAACCAGAGTTATATTTCCTTTCATAGTGATGTAATAATATCATTTTCTGAGGTGGCACTTTAAAAAAAAATTTTTGCGGTCTTTGGCAGCATAGAAAACTGTGGTAATTTAAAATGGAATTATAACAGTTTTTTTAATGATGTACTAAAGTTAACCTTATATTTTATTATTTCAGTTGTTCATGGTGGACAATGGAGCAGATGACTGGAGAATAGCCATGACTTATGAGCGTATTTTCTTTATCTGCTTGGAAATACTGGTGTGTGCTATACATCCCATACCTGGGAATTACACATTCACGTGGACAGCCCGGCTCGCCTTTTCTTACGCTCCATCCACAACAACAGCTGATGTGGATATTATTTTATCTATACCAATGTTCTTAAGACTTTATCTTATTGCCAGAGTTATGCTTTTGCATAGCAAACTTTTCACTGATGCCTCATCTAGAAGCATTGGAGCATTAAATAAGATAAACTTCAATACCCGTTTTGTTATGAAGACTCTAATGACAATATGTCCAGGAACTGTACTGTTGGTTTTTAGTATCTCATTATGGATAATTGCTGCATGGACTGTCCGAGCTTGTGAAAGGTAAGGTTGGTTTTTTTTTTCAGTTCTTTCTGTTTGTCTTTCTATTTTTCACTCCTGTTTTGTCTCTTAAATTTTGATTTCAGGGGACCTAAACATTGTTTAGAATGGAGCTCCCTAGTCCTTGATAATTTATGTGTTGGTTGCATTGTATTCTGTGACAGTCATTGTCAGGAGTGATTTGCCTCTTAATCTGGTGGACCTCTGCAAAGAGATCCCCACTGTTTACTTGTAGCACTACAATTTCATTTCAGTGTGTTGACATATTTAACACACTAGACAGATACCACAAAATTACGTTAAGAGTAGTTGTTAATATTATGCATTTATACAATTTTTCATTTACTTTCTTTGTAAGATAAATGTAGTGAGGATAAGATAGAAAAAATAGCCAGGGAAAATGCTTGGAGGGGAAATGTAATTTGAGTGTTGTTATGCTGAAAAAAGAAAGAGAGTGCAAAATGCAGTTGAGTGGTTGGCAAGATCAGTAAAGGGGAACAGGCAGAACACTTATAGTAATATAACTCTTTCTTCCAATGAAAATCAGAAGTGCATTTGAGTGCAATTTCAGCTAGTTTTCCAACCTCCCTTTATCACAGACTTCAGTGTAGGTGCAGAATAAATGGCTATCAGTGCTGACAACTTGAAACTGAATTTCTCAAACGTGGCTTTAAGAAAAAAAATAAATGGGCTTCTGATTGGATAGGATTGCTCAGGAATATGAGATAGGTTAACTCTAAGAAGACAATTAGAATGATTCTCTATAAAAGATTTAATGCCTTGGACAGCTCTTAGATCCTGGAATTGATTTCTCCTTCCTTAAGCTGAAAAAACATCAGCAGGCATTTAAGGCATTTCTGCTGCTGTTTGTTGACCATTTTGTTTTTCCTATTCCTTTCCATGTCTGTCTGTTTTAGAATCAATTTGGGGGAGTTACTTCTGACAGCTAAATGATTCAAGTCAGCAGTTAATTCAAACACAGTTGTGCCTTTTTAAGTTACTACTTGCATACCTTTTCAACTTATAAGGAAAAATACCTGATCTTATGAAATGACTGTAGGAATCACATTTTTTGTAGTTTTATTGTTAAAGTTTCTTTGTATCAGTATTGTTTCCTCATATTACAGCTAGACTAATAGTTCAAGAATATTCTGAAAATACGATGTTAAGACATAATGACGTATTAGAGTTTCAGAATATTCCCCATAGTGGCAGCGAAGGAGTACCTTAGATTTTGACTCAATCTTTAGTAGCTGTATTTTCATAAACATATTCTTGTTTCAGATGTAACTGACTTCTGCAAAGTCTCTCCTCTTTATCTCATATTCTCCTCTTCGCTTCCCACCACTTTTCTTTTAATACAATTGCTGCTCAGGAATTCTTGAGTGTCTACTCAGGCATTTCCCAAACTGTCGGTTTGAAGTGGCTCTGAATAACTTCAGCATCCGTTGCTATCTCATTACATATAACTGGTTGATGATGATGATGGTGATGAAAAAAATTTTTAATTAACTTTTTTATACACATGCTTTCAAAATAAGCTAGTACAACTCAGTGAAAATTGCTGAAAATATTTGCTACTGTCTGATACGTGTCTGTAAAACATGTTTATTTGTTAGTTTACAGGTTGCAGGACAAGAATGTATAGTATATAAGTAACACTAAAAATAAAAGAAACAAAGACCACCTCACCGATTTTTTGGTCAGGAGGAGTGAAGACAACACTCTCATAAAGTTTTGATTTTCTCCGTTTTCTTATTTATATTTAGAAATTTAACTTCTGCATCACTGTTGTTCTGGGAAGAAGATTATTTATTTGGTTAGGTACACTGAAGTCAGGGTTGAAAAAAGCTGAATTTTTCTTCAACTCCCGGCTAAGTTAGTAATGGATTTTCCACATTTTATCATGAGAAAGGACAATTATGGCCACTGAATATTTTCTGTTCTGTGTAGAAATCATAGTCCTCAGAAGACTCTCCCAAGGTCTTTATGCATTTGAATTGCTTAGATGTTAAAAGATTAGTTTACACAACTGGAGGTACACTTTTTCCCAGCTACTCTTGACTTTTTTCTTAGTTTTAACTCAAGGGAGCTTTTTTTTTTTAATTTTAAATAGACTATTTTTGTACAAAAAAAATTATCCTGAAAATAAATTCTATCATTAGGAGTGTTTTCCATTTGACACTATATATGAAAACATAACGAATTTTAATACATCTAACAGAAATTAGGAATTAGGCAGCAGCCTGGTAGCTTTGGTTTACTAAGGAGTGATTTATATTAATAAAATTTGATGTTGTTAACTGTTTCTTTGCATCACTCTAGCACCATGCTCTAATTTCTCTTATATAGTAGCATTGCATGAGTTTGCATTAGCAGTAGTTCTTTGGTGTATTAAATCATTTAACTGACCATCCAAATTGGAACAAGATGATGGTGATAAGACATAATAGATTAAAATATTAAGGTTTGCGAATGGAGAGGAAAGATTCTCATTCTGTCCCATGTTCTCAGTGAGAAGGGAAGTCACAGTAGGCGGTGTCCTTTATTGTGGAGTTGTGTGTGCTCAGCAAAGCTGTTGCTGCTGAATGGCAACCTGGTATTCAGATTGTTCTTCTGTTCAAAGTTAGGTTGTTATTATTGCAGACGATCCTGGGAACAGGAAGGGAGATTGGAAGCCCCGCATTTCATAGGAAGGTAACATGAAAGAGCAGCATTATCCTTCTCTAGAAAGATAACCTGTGGAGACAGGTCATGGTTTGAGCCAGGCAAGTTGGCTGTCTGAATAAAGACTTCACTGCATTAATGGTCATCTGACTGATCACTTGATATACACTGAACTAAGACAGGACATGTATCTTTCTCGGTGCCTTAATGACTGTATAGTTAGCTCCCAGAATGCTAATTATAGCAAGTGACACTTTGGGTTGGTGAGCAAGGTATTTTCCATGATTGGAGTTTAAGGTCATGTATGAGGGCAGAATGTGGTACAGATAATGGTGGTGGACAGCCAGCTGAGTATAAATGGGTTGCTAGGGCTGCAGAGTAATCTAGATGAGGGAATTTGGAAGGTGAAGGTGGGGAAAGCATCAAGTGTTGCTGTATACATAATGTCTGTTTTGAGGGGAAGATTGCATAGGTTTCATCTCTCATTGCCAGTAGCAGTATATTGCTGTTTTTCATGTGTAGGCTTCATAATGAAAATCTAAATTTTTCATTGGGTCTAACTCAAAAGATGTTCATGTTTATAACATCTCTGAGGCGCATGATCTAGAACACTTATGAGTATATTAATTTCACGTTTGAATTATGAACCCTACAAGCAGATTAATTTTTGCAATTTCCCATACATATGTTGTTACTGAAAATAGGTTTGTGCATGGGCATCAGTTGTTTATTTCAGTTAAAATAGAAAAGTTTGGTCTCTTGAGAAAAAGAAATTAGTATGTTTAGCATTAAGTCATCGAAGAGTCTGACTAGAAGAAGAATCTGAGTAGAAGAATTCTACTCTTCTGTAGAATGGGTGTCTCTTCTGTGAGAAGTGGGCTGCTTTTCTAGGTTGTGTGGAAGGTGTACACTTTTTATGATCTGGGGGTTTTTGGGGGGTTTTTTTGGTGGTTTGGTTTGGTGTTTTGGGGTTTTTTCTTTGCTTGGTTTTTTTTTTTTTGTTTTTTTTGTTGTTGTTGCTTTTGTTTTTGTATTTTTTTATGGAAAGGAAGAAAAAATATTGTCTTCTGAATACACACACGCGTGTAGTGTGCCTGTGTACCAAGCAATATGAGCTACAAATGCCCACATTACACTGTTGTATGTCCAGAACAGATCCTATCACATGCCTGGCATTTCTGTGGATTTGCAGAGGAGAACTGAGAACAGAACTGGATTTTCTTCTTCTTCTGCAGAGAGCACACTTTTGGCACCATTTGTTGTTCTATTTGTTCATCTCTTTGACTTCTGGCAATGAAGTCAGTTCAGTTTGAGCAGTTTGTTTTAGTCAGCATTTCTCCCTCTTGTCAGTTTCTGCTCTGTATTCTCTCCTTGTTTTAACAAAAATAAACTCAAAAAACACACACATACGCAAAATCCCATCTGTGTGTGAGGGTGAAATCTTTTTCTGCTTTCTGCTCATTCTTGTTTTCTACAAAGAAATGTCTGTCTTATTTCTTGGAAATATGATACCATTACAAAGTTTCCAGTAAGCAGCTCATACATGACAACTGGGAGGCAAATGTTAAGGATTCATTTGATACAAGCTAGTGGATACACTGACACTTCAGTTGTAATTCATGAAGGAAAAATGTTTCTTAGCTATCTAATTTCCTCACAGTATGTATTTCAGTTCTTTACTTATATTGAGGACCTTATCTGATGTTGTACATTGCATGCATATTCACAAGGCCACCTTCTAATGGAAATTACTTTTTGCATTCTCTCAGTGCCAGTGTGAAGATGCTTGTTCTTAGTTTAAAAAAAGCAACCAAAAAACCCAGAAAAACCCCAACAAACAAGCAAACAAAACCCACCAACAACAAACCAATCCTGGATATTTAATTTTAAGGCTATTTTTAGGCTCAGAAGGTCAGAAGCAATGACATATGATTTTCATTTTTTTCAGTCTCATGACTGTCAACAGATCAAATAGTGTTTGTGCATGGCCAGTGCTGGCTGTTTATCATGGTTCTTTACCTTCCCTTGGCTCACAGCTCACTGAAACTAGAATGTGCTACTGGCAGCCAGGTTTCTTCAGTGGTGGCAAACATTAAAAGTTACATATTCAAAACAACAATAAGCAATGATGTCCTGTCATCATCCTGACTTGGACCTGTGCTGTGAATGAATGGTTCTCTGCCTACTAGTCTTAATTCCTGGTTTTGCTCACTGAGTGTAGCTTAACTTTAAATGTGAGGTTACTGTTTTATAATATTTACATCTCAAAACAATGACTGCAACCACATGTAACCAATTGCATAATTGCTGCAAAAGTTACAAATAGACCATCAGAT